CCTCTCCCCCCCTCTCTTTCTGCTTCTCCCTCCCTCCCTCCTTCCCTTCCTCCCTCCCTTTCTCTCTTCCTCTCTCTCTAAAAATCAATAAAAATGTCCTCAAGTGAAGGAAAAAAAAAAGGAAGCATTCATGGAGGTCTTAACCTGAGTGAGAGGGCATCTGTTTCTATAATCTTTTTTTATCCTTTATTGAGATTGAGAACAGCTCCTTCCCTGTCCTTTTTTTCTCTTTATTATAGCCTTGATAGCTATTAATTTTTCCCTTCAGTCTCCTTAAGATCAAATCTTCATATTTCTTCTGGTCTTTTTTTCACCAGTCCAATTTTGTGTTTTGAACAGTTAATCCCAGTGGATTATTAAAAATAAGCAAACCAATATATATATATATACTGTTTTAAAATATATATCTTTATTAATTTTAGAGAGAGGGAGGGAGAGATAGAAGCATCAATGATGAGCGTCATTGATCGGCTGCCTCCTGCATGTCCCCCACTGGGGATCTGCCCGCAACCTGGGCATGTGCCCTGACCAGGAATCAAACTTCGATTTCCTGGATCATAGGTCGATGCTCAACCGCTGAGCCATGCCAGCCGGGCCAAAACTATACTTCTTAATGGTCTGCTTCATTAGTCTGGGACCACTATCAGGTAATCTACATAAATTCCAAAGGTTCTTATTTATATGTATCCTTTAAATTATTTGTGTCCCTTCTGCTCCTATTTGAAATGGAAACTATTGTTTTGTTTCCTCCACCCACTCTAAGCAATTTAAAACTGATAGACAAATGAACAAAAAGGCTATGAGTCATCAGTTTCAAGCAAGACAAGCGCTTAGAAGGGAGCACTTATTTGTGGAGAATTGTGAAATGTGCTCTTAGTGACCACTGTTCATCATTTCAGCTTTCTGACTTAAATGCTATTGGGACTAAACTATACACTAGGTAACTGACTTACATTTATGAGGTTATACCCTACCTCCTCTGTACTTTTTCCTTCCCTACTTCCCTAATCTTTAATGAGAGATTCAGAGTGGGAACAAGGAGAGAACATGTCTTAGCTACACTTAGCCTTCACTTCTTACCTATGTGGCACAAACAGAAAGATCCTAAACCAAGAGCCAAGGATAGAGGTTAGGTGTTCTGTTGCAACCATGTCTGACCCTGAATCATTACCATCCTCCAAATAATGATTTCACTTATATGTGGAATCTAATGAACAAATTAAACTAACAAAGTGGAGACTTGTGGATGCAGAGAACAGACTGACAGATGTCAGAGGGGAGGAGGGTTTGGGACTGGGTGAAAAATGTGAAGGGATTAAGCAAAGAAAAAACAAACTCATAGGTACAGACAACAGTATGGTGATTACCAGAGGGAAAGGGGGGTGGGTAAGGTAGAAAAGGGTAAAGGGATAAATGGTGATGGGAGGAGACTCCACTTGGGGTGGTGAACACACAATACAAAATACAGATGATGTATTATAGAATTGTACTCCTGAAACCTATATAATTTTATTAATGTCACCTCAATAAACTCAATAAATTAAAAAATAAAGATAATAATAAAGTATTTCAGGCATATGTTTCTTATTCATACAATATACTACCTGACTGAGAGAATAAATTGGAATAGACACACCTTTTCCAGACTTTTGGGGGTAATTTTAAACCAACTGCCCCACCCCAAAGGCCTACGGGATACAGTTGTACCACCTTTGATACAGGTGTTATCAATCATGTATTTTTCTAATGTTACTTTCTTTGTTTTAGTGTGGAACCATCAGAGAATCTACAGTCTTTGATGGAGAAGAATCAGTCCCTGGTAGAGGAGAATGAAAAATTAAGTCGTGGTCTGAGTGAGGCAGTTGGTCAGACAACCCAGCTGTTGGAGAGGATCATTTTGGTGAGGCCCCAAGATTAAACTACTAGTAATCTGGACATTTACTAGCTTTAGTTTCTGAAATATTTAACATGCTTCTCATTATAAGAAACCAGTTATGTGGAAAGAAATGGATAGTATTACCATATCCTCCATAGAGCCCCTCTAAGGCTTATATTCAAGCATACAGAAAAGTTAAAAGAATTGTACAGTGAACACCTATATATCCACCACAAAAAATCTACATGAATATTTTAAAGTAGATTTGTTCTAAAATACCAGAGAGTAAAGAACCAGGTCCCTCTGTCACCTTAAGTCCTTCCTAGTCTCTATCCATAATACCAAGTAACTGTTCCCTCAATAAGATTTTAGTTCCTCTCTATCACTTTCCCTAGCATTGTCACATTTCATATCCCATCCTAACAGTTATCGTGGTGAGGTAGAATAGGAAATTAATTTTAATTCCTTTCACATGTGGTTAATTTCCAACAAGTTCTGTACCCTACTATCTGTCTGATAGTAACCTCCTGGATCAGTGCATGCTGGCTCTGTCAATAACGTTTTTCTACTAGTCTAAATACAGCTCAGTCTTTGATAGCACAATTATTGCCAGAAGCAAAAATGATTTTCCACCAAAATGTAATTGAACATCTGTAATTTATACATCTTCACGCATCAGTGTGCTCTCTTTTCATGGAAGGGTAAGCTGCTTAAAGATTTCTTTGAGGAGGGCCAAATCCTAAGTCCATTGTACTGTCCATTATTAGCAGAAGAGTTAGAATGGGATCTAGGGGATTTTTATATAGTTTTCTGTCTCCATGCTGCATTTTATGCCTTTGAAGTAATTCTAGAAGATGTGTCTCACATGATTGTGAGTGTGGCAGATGTAACAGACAGTACTTGTTATTCTAACCACATACCATCTGACCTTTATAAGGTTGTTACAGTGGCTGCTTGATAGGCTTGTGGTTTGATGTTCTATCTGAACTTCATAACAAGCACACATTTTTGTCCTATATAAACTGTTCTTCCCAAATCTGTTGCAGCATCTAACATGTTACAAATACTGTGATTGGAATAAAATGGAAATAATCGGTCACCCTTCCCAAAACATAGCTGCCTCTGCCATTTCTTCTTTGCCATCATTCTTGTGCTTCACCCTTTTTCTTTCTTTTGCTAAAATTAGTCTACCATATCTGATAGTGTAATGTGCAAAAACTCAGTTCATATGCAGTGTGAGGCCCTTTTATGTTTTAAAATGCCCTTCTGCTGGGACTAGAGAGCAGTATAGTGTAGGAGACAGTTTTAAGTAAGTGGTTTTTTGCAAACAGCAGGGGGTAGCATGCCAGGAACTATTGCTTTCTCCCCCGGTTGCAAAGTTCTCTATGGAATTGAGGCTTCACACTCTACCCCATAGTCTGAGCTTCATGGCAAGCAAAAGACCCAGCTGCTTGGATGATATTTTTAGTACTTCATGTTGACTGAAGGGCTAATTTCCATGACTGTTAAAAAACACATTTCTCACAAAATAACCAAAGACCACTGAATACTCTATTACAGCAAAGGAGTCAGCCTCTCTACCTAGGTTTTAATCCATAAAAGTAGGAGAGAAGGCATAATTAAATGAGGCTGTCAGGTACTGCCACTGATGATCTCCTGGGTTTTTGTTGCAGACAGAGCAAACGAATGAAAAAATTAATGCCAAACTAGAAGAGCTCAAGCAGCATGCAGCGTAAGTTTCCTACCATATATTTGTTACTGACCTTATACCACGTAATATGTAATCATAGATGCTCTGGCCTTTGCAGTGTGGTTAACTCTTGGGTTCCTTTGCTTGAATTTTCAGCTGTAAAGTGGATCTTCAAAAGCTAGTGGGGAGTTTGGAAGACCAGGAATTAAAAGAAAATATAGAGAAAATTTGTAACCTGCAGCAACTGATTACCCAGATACCGGTAAGCCAAGCAGGGACAATGTAAATAGGCACATTGCTTTCATTTGTTTCTCTTTATTTCTTTTATTATTTAATTCAGTAGATGTACAATATAATATTGGTTTCAGGTGTACAACCCAGTGATTAGACATTTATAGAACTTACAAAATGATCACCCTGATAAATCTAGTACCCATCTAACACCATACATTATTATTATAATATTCTTGACTATATTCCCTAATGCTATATTTCATATCCCCGTGACTATTCTGTTATTACCAGTTTGTACTTAATCCCTTCACCTTTTTCACCCATCCCCCCAAACCCCCTCCCGTGTGGCTATCGTCAAAACGTTCTCTGTATCTATGAGTCTGTTTCTCTTCTGATTGTTTATTTATTTTCTTTTTAGATTACACATATAAGTGAAATCATATGGCATTTGTCTTTCTGTGTCTTACTTATTTCACTTAGCACAATACTCTCTAGGTTCATTCATGTTGCAGATGGCAAGATTTCATTGTTTTTAACGGCTGAGTTATATTCCATTGTATATATGCACCACCACTTCTTTATCCACTTATCCATTGATAGACACTTAGGTTGCTTGCATATCTTGGCTTTTGTAAATAATGCTGAAACAAACATATGAATGCATATGTCTTTTTTATTTAGTGTTTTGGTGTCTTTAGATAAATGCACAGAAGTAGAATTGCTGGGTCCTTCATTGTCTCTTTGCTTTAAAGTCTATTTTGTCTGGTATAAGTATTGCTTCCCCAGTTGTTTTTTTGTTTGTTCCCATTTTCATGAAATATCTTTTTCCATCCCGTTATTTTCAGTCTATGTGTGTCTTTCGATCTGAAGTGAGTCTCTTGTAGACAGCATATGCAAAGGTCTTGTTTTGTTATCCATTCCGCCACCCTGTGTCTTTTGATTGGAGCATTTAATCCATTTGCATTTAAAGTAATTGTTGGTACTTATGTATTTATTGCCATTTTATTCATATATTTTATCTTTTTTCTTCTTCCTAAAGAAGTACCTTTAACATTTCTGTAATACTGGTTTGGTGGTGATGAACTCCTTTAGCTTTTTCTTGTATAGTAAGCTCTTTATCTGTCCTTTGATTCTAAATGATAGCTTTGCAGGTTGTAGGTTCTTGCTTTACATCCCTTTGAATATTTATTGCCACTCCCTTCTGTCCTACAAAGTCTCTCTTGAGAAATCAGCTGACAGTCTTATGGGAGCTTGCTTGTAGGTAACTAACTGCTTTTCTCTTACTGCTTTTAAGATTCTTTGTCTTTAACCTTTGGCATTTTAATTATGATGTATCTTGGTATGGGCCTCTTTGGGTTTGTCTTTTTGGGGACTGTCTATGCTTCCAGGTTTAGTGTGTCTTTCCTTCACCAGGTTAGGAAAGTTTCCTGTTGTTATTTTTTCACGTAGGTTTTTAATTCCATGCTCTCTCTCTTCTCCTTCTGGCTTCCCCATGATGTGAATATTGGTACGCTTGAAGTTGTTCCAGAGGCTCTTTAAACTATCCACATTTTTTGGATTCTTTTTTTCTTTTTGCTGTTCTAATTGGGTGTTTTCTGCTCTCAACAAAACAGGAATGTGCACATAGCCTACACTGGGGGCACACCTGAAGCACCTTACTTGGGTGACAGGGAATGCTGCACCACTGGGCCCTATAGGACACCTACTATATTAGGCTACTCTACTTAGCCCTGGAGATGTAGCAGCTCTAGCTAATACATAGAAACAAACACCGGGAGGCAGCCAAAAAGAAACGTCCCAAATGAAAGAACAGAAGAGAACTCCAGAAAAAGAACAAAATAAAATGGATGAGTAATATACCAGATGCAGAGTTCAAAATATTGGTTTTAAGGATGCTAATGAACTTAAGGGAAGACTAGATAAACTTAGTGAGAAGAACCTCAAAAGAAAGATAGAAAATATAAAAATGGAAATAGGAAACAAAAAAGAACCCGTCAGAAATAAAGAATACATTAACCAAAATGAATAATGTATTACAGGGAATCAACAGTGGAGTAGATGAAGCAGAGAATCAAATCAGAGATTTGGAAGATAAGGACCTTGATTGCTGTTGGCATCTCAATAGGAGGAATTTACCCCCAGGCCAATTGGCTGCAAGGACTGTCCCACACTATAGCAGAGGAGCTGCTGTGCAGGGGCAAACCCTATGTACAGGACTCACTTAGCAGGGCTCTTGGTCCTGATGAGTCCATCTCTTGAGTGTGTCATTTGTGGAGATAATTGGCTGGTGCTCCAGTGATGTCTGAGGTTTTACACTGGGTGCATTGGCTCTGAGGCCTCCTAGGAGATGCAAGCCAAGATCAGCTGCCACCTGTGTTCTGCCTGGGGTCACCTGGCATGAGCTACAGAACAGTCTTCAGATGACTGCTACTTGTGCTGGGTTTGGAGATGTCTAGTAGAGGCCACGGTGTGAACCGAGTCCGGCTGCAACTAGTGTCGGGCCTCAGGCCACTTAGTGAGAGGTAGGTGCACACTGAGGGCAGATACTGCTTGTTTGGGGTTTGTGGTCCTTTGAGAGATTTTAGAAAAGTCCTCAGCCTGAGCCAAGACAGGGCATTTGTATGGAAAAGCCACTGGAAACGGCTTTGTTGGGCCTGCAGGTTGTATGGGATAGGGTCTCAGAGAGTCAACAGGGCTAGGCAAACATGTTAGCTAGGTTGAAGAAGACTCAGATATGGCACCCACCTGCCAGCTTTGTGTGGGGAGGTCTCAGGAAGGTTATGATGGCCTCTGCCTGCACTTCTGTCTGGGAGAAAGCTGCCCCTCCAGTCCTCACTGGACAACTCACTTCCTGGTGCCTTTTGAGCTGCTACGTCAGTGCTGGAACTCAGAGAGAGTGAGGTCGAGTAAGTCTGTGCTCGTACCCTTTAAGAGGAATTGCCTGGGACTCCAGCAGCCCTCTGTCTCACTCATCCACAATTCCCACAGGTTTTCACAGCCAGAAGTTATGGGGACTTTTCTTCCTGGCACTGGGACCCTGGTCTGAAGGGGCTGGAGCCCCTAGCTCCTCAGGGGGAACCTTGACATCTGAGATATCCTTCCCAATTTTTATCCACCACATGTAGGTGTGGGACCAACCTCTTTTGCATCTCCACCCCTCCTACCAGTCTGGAAGTGGCTTCTGTATATCCTTAGTTATAGGACTTCTGTTTAGCTAGACTTCAGGTGGTTCTCACTGATAGCTTAGTTGTAATTTTTATGTGGTTATGGGAGGATGTCAGTACCAAATTTACCTACATCGCCATCTTGACCAGAAGTCCTCATTTGTTTCTCTTGTTGCATATAAACATGTCTATTAACTGTGCCTTTTGCTGAAACAACTAGATTCTGAGCTGTTTGAGGACAGATATAATGGATCATTGGATATGATCTGAATATGAATTTGTTAAATTAAACTCCCTTAGATTACATATGCAATGATACATTAGTATTTCAACGTTCTAATCAAATAATGGAAGCAACAACATACAGGGTGAGGCAAAAGTAAGTTTACAGTTGTGAGTATGTGAAACACAGAGTTTACTCTTGTATTATTTATTATTTTATTATTTTCCTATGAAAACTATAAACCTACTTTTGCACATACCCCCATATATATGCAGTACAAAATTGCCAGGTAGCATGAGCAGCAGTCATTGATTTGCTGTCCTTTCAGTGCAGGCTAACTTAGTAAGAGGCCTTGGACCATACTCTGATCTTAAATAAGCTGGCTTCTGACAAATAGCTTAGAACAACCAGGGAATACTATAGCTCTTTTTTATAAGCAGTCATAAATTAGTTTGAATCATCATTCTGCTATAGGTTCCCATTTTCTTATTTTTAGAACTATTATAGTAGTTGTG